AAGCAGGGATCTATAATTAACGAGGATAATCACCAGAAAATTCACGCGTTCGTGGGCGGAAGCGGCGTTTATCTATTCATCGATGTCCATCGAAACAGATAATGTTCTGGCTCGGCGGGCGTGCGGCGGATCTTCTATCGTCGATTTCCTTTTCCCAGCACGTGGTCGATTGTTTGTTGCGATTTTCCAGTCACGATTGACCGTGTGTGTGTATCAAACGGAGGAATTTAATAATCCTCGTGAAGCCGTCCGATAAATTTCCACCCCCTCCTTCCCCGGGATATAAACTGGGTCGCGGAAAATAAATAAACCGCGTAGAAAGGAACTTTTGTTTCCATTATTCGCCGCGATATTAACGTTAGACTCTGATATCTATCGGCGATCCCCTCGAATTCAACGTTGAATCGAACGTTCTTCTTATCACGGGCTGGTGTTTAACGAAGACAATCGATCGGCGCTCGTCCGAATTTTCCGATGAATTTCTTACGAGAGAGAGAAACATCGAGGAACGTCTGGACAGCGGAGATGCAAATGTCGTTCGAAAATAGACGAACGTAATGGCGTACCGAATAACCGAAACGTCTGTTCGGTATGAAAAGTTGAATTAATATGTTGGCGTTTTGAAATGTAGTATGCAGCTCGAAGCGAGACGGGTTAATGGAATATTTACACGCTTAACAATGGATATTCTGAGCGAATCAGCCGGTCGTGGTATTTGTTTTTGTCTACTTATCGGGAAGGAACGGTTTAAGTGATTCGCGTTAGAATTTTCTACGAGAAGAGTAGACACGGCGATCATTTTTCGGAATAATTCACAAGTGAATATAAAAAGGATCGCTGTTTTCTCATTTTTAATTATTCAAAAATTATTGCATTCTATATAGCAACTAATAATTTCGCAATAATTCATAAAATAAATACAAAGAGAATTACCGTTCGTCAATTTGCAGTTATTTAAAAATTGTAACAAAGTTCAGTAAGATACAATTAGAAAAATAATACTCCAAGTCTAAAATCCTTAAAAACTTGAAACTTCTGCAAACTCGACGCTTCGAGACAAGACAACAAGACACTGAAAGAGCGTCTTTCAGCATTGTGTCCGCTACAAAGGAAAACCCTTTGTCCTTCGGCTACTTCGCCAATCTACTTCACCTCGATTCACCCTTTCCAACTTAATAAATACAGAAGGAGTAAAGAAAAACGAGAACGCAGGTAGAAGAGATCTGAGCGATCCTCTATTTTCCAACTACATCTTCTTTCATCGAGAGCAGAAGGAAGATTGGCAGAGGCGTTCTGGATCGCGGTCGTAAAAGCAAATCTCGACTGACATATCGATACGCGCAAATAAATCTGAAAATCACGCCTGCCGTCGCGTCGAGGGTCGCCGTTAAATTCAGAACACGTGCCTTTAAAGCATGCAGGGTCGCGAAGGTTGCGTCCCATTTACGCGTCGATTTCCAACACGGCTGTGTTTATGAGGAATCGTCCTTCCGCGATCGTATCGTGTCGCGCAGAGGCGGTAATTACGGCAGATTAATTGCAGTCCGTTGTTCATCGATCCTGGCCGGCAGCTTTCGATACGAGGATCGAGCTCGAGTCACACGCGGTTTCTTCAAATGTCAAACGACAAAGGGAGAAGAACCGACTCGAACCCGTTTCCCCTTTATTCTTCTCGCAGGTCTGTGAAACGTTGGCGTAACACTTCTTGCACGAGAATAGGCGAATCAGGCTCGAACGGGAACACGGGTGGGAAGGCAATTAAAATCGTAATGAGAACGGAAGATGAATAATCGTCGAACGACAGTTCACCGTCGCGCGAGGTAAAGTGTAACGTGTACCATTCGCGAAATATTTTACAGAATAAAAGCAATTCAGCGAGATGAAAAATTACCCTAACCTTTTTTTCCTTCAACCTTTCTACTTTCGGGAGGAATTGATACATTTTTCGGGAAAAATGCGCGTAAAAAATGAGCAATCTCTGTTGGGTAACTGGAATTTCACTGTGAAAGTTATCGAACTGTTGGAAATTCTTCGCCAGAAATTTGGGTGCAGTGTATACTTTTTATTGCGGAATTTAAACTTTCGAAATTCGTTTGATCGCAAAATTTCACTCGTCTTCGTCAAAGTTTCCGGAAAGAGCTGTCGGAGGATAGAATGTGTGTTCGTCGAGAAAAAGTACGTACTCGATATTAGAAGATGTTTGCAGGGTTGCTGCGTCGAAGCGATTCCTTCGGCAATTTCAGGAATTTACTAGGAAATGCTGGTAATTCGGACGGCACATTTAATGAAAACAACAAGCCGGAGATGCGAGGCTGCATAACTTAACGAGAAGCTGTTCACGAAGTAGATCACTCGAGTGGAATCCTTGCTCGAACGAAGTAAATAAACGGGCAACGAGCTTGTTTACGAGAAACAAGGTCGCAGACTTCGATGTTCGAAGAACTTTCGAAAAGCACATCTCAGTCGACGTGTTCGCCGATATTCAGTACCGGAAGCGAAAACAACGGGAAACGAGACGCAGATGAAAATGATCAATTCGACAGATTGTTCTACCTGTATTTCTCGTGGTTGCATCGCTAGTTTGATACGCGAACAATTAAAAAAAAAAAAGAAAAGAAATACACATTCTGGGATGATTCTATTAATTTTGACAATTTCAGCGACTGAAGAGTCAAGAGGGAAAATTATGAGGGAGCATTTTTAGTCTGGTATGATATTTCAATACACGTGGATTTCTTTTTTATCGTAGAATTCAGTTTGTACTTTGGAAATGAGAAGAAAGATCAAATTTCTAAATTATTGCCATTTAAACAATAATAGCACATGGAAAAAATAGCGAGAGTATCAGTGTTTCTGTGGAAAAAAGATAAGAGTGAGTTACACAGTGTTTTTCTACTACATTAATACATTTTTTAAGTGTGACTGTAAAGCAAGTGTTGATAGAAGAATCAGCATAAATCCTCAACGTTTAAAATTTGTTTCACTCAAAGTAACATTAAGGTAAAGGTATCAGTAGTTGACCAATTTTTAGAGAAACGTAAAAAATAAGGTTTTACTAGTTTTTTCATTTTTAAGAGTGGTCAACTTTTGAAGTAATTACTGAATTTTTAAATATGCTTTTGAAATTTTTATAACATAACTTTTTTTTAAAATTGGTATTGTTACATAATCTAGAAGGCTTGAAGAGTATCTTCAGGCATCGACTCTCGCTGTTTAACGACAGAGCAAGTGGTTACTATTGTTCGCGTGGAGGATTTCTCTTAACTGGTCAACTACTGGTACCTTTACCTTAAGAGAAATTTCATCCTTATTCTCCTCTACTCTTCAATTCTCAAAACAGTATCGTACTCTCTTCGTTTGCATTTTACTACTGCAGCCGTATTGCTATAACCGAACGAATTTATTTTCACTGAAAAAAATCGTATTACCGAGCGTTAACATTGTTCAGCTTACCAACAAGGTATTTTTTCCTTTCACAGATAAATATTTTCGTGTCCGCGTTTCCAATTAATTGATTAGGTACGTGACAAATATTTGTCGAATAAATCGATCTCCGTCACGAGCATAGACTGATACGAAATTCCGGAAGCGTGCATTGTTATTCTGCACGGCGGAATTGCATCGATATGTAAGTTGTATTAAAACGACAGTCTCTACTCACATTGACTAGTATTTGCAGTGCCTCCACGTACGATCGCTCCGTATCGTATAGCTCGACAACTACGTGAGTCCTGGTATCCTGAAAAACGAGACCAACAATTATACACTGGAGCCGATATTTCACGAAATATCAAGTTAGTTATTCTTCGAGAAGTCGTTATGCATCGAACAGTGGTAAAATTCACTCGGTCTCTACGATGGAAAGTCGAAAAGGATGGGGGAATATCGATTGACATGCAAAAATTCGTATTCGATATGTATACACGAACGATACAAGAGCCATTTGAAATACAAATCAGAGTTGGACAAACCTTATCTGATATTAAAATAAGCAACTTTTCTTTATTTTGCAATCAATTTAAACGGAGTTAAACGTAGTACTCTGGTCTCGGTTGATACAACATTTGCATGGAACATTTCATTTGTTCTTCCCGTCTTGGAAAACTACCGAGGAAATAATAGTCGAGACATTTTCCTCGGTACTTGTATTTGCCTTGGTCTGACGTTCAATTCCGTGATAATTGCTAAAGTAATAGCAAATAGAAATAATCCTATTTAGTCGATAAACACGGCAGCGGAGAGCGAAGAAAATGAACAACAGATCTTCAGATGTAATCACGTCATAAGAAACATCTCTGTTGGATAATTATCGATTCTAGTAATCAGCTAAAGAAACGCGTGCATAATTGAAAAAGAAGCGCTTGAAAAGTGTCCAGATTTATTAACCGAGTATTGCAAGGATTCTTGCAATTATTTGAAAAATTGGTTCAAAAATTTCCTGTCGATTCCATTGTTTCCTCGATTTCTAAACAACAAGGCTTCACGTTAATCCGGTTGTCTCGTGATAAAGATTGCACGTGCCCACGTATCGCGTGAACGTTGCTCACGTGTTCACTGACATCGTCATAACACCGATTACGAGAAAAACTGTTTTCCATTGCGTAACGCGTAAGACGCAATAGGCAGTGTTACTCCCTGACCCTCGGCAATTGTATCGTAACCGGCGATCATGAAGCGGCAATTACGCCGAGGTCTTGCTCAGGTGTGTGACGTCGTTATCGTCGAATTATATCACAAATACATCGACAATTAAAAATTACTCGAAAAAGACAAAAATGCATTATTTCAAAAATCACTTTAGCTAAAAATTTCTGTACAAGAACGTGCAAGTGATTCTTCGCCCAATCATTCGCTAATTAACACTGTCCTTCGTTGAGAAATCATTCAAAACCAAAACGAACGCTTCGAATTTCCTGAAACGAAAAAGAAAAACAGAAAAGAAAAATTCTATACCAAGTTTCACGGTCGGTTTATTTTTCAACAAACGAAAACCCTCTTCTTTCTCTGCCGCGTTACAGTTTATACAGCCTTCCTACGCATCTTCCATGATACGACCGATAAAGTGCAATTTCATAAAGATAGAAAACGGCGGCAGACGGCAAACACGGTTTTTGAACCGTGCATTAACCAGTTTGCCCGGCGAATTCTGCATCCGTGCGGAATAACCGATACACAAAACGACCAAAAAAAAAAAAAAGAGAGAAAAACAGAAAAAACGTGTGCTCCGCTAGAAACAACAGAACGAACACCGATCGTGACAATGCATGTGCTACTATGTGTGTGTGTGTAACCGTTCAGGTGGTGGAATTCGTGTAAGCATGAAAAGGAAAGCTACCCACGCGGTCTGTGCTGACACGCTCGTTATTTTCGCTGTCCACCGACGGCTGGCTGATGAGTTTGCGATCAGCGTTCATCGTCATCCTCTTCTACCGCTTTTCCCGGTCCTTCGATACGGTTTAAGCTCTCTAATCGCATATCAGTCCGGCTCACCGCATTCCAGTCCCATGTCGATCTATCCGCGATCGTTAAACGACACTCCGCGACCGCGAACAAATAATTACCAGTCTATCTGACCAACGTGATTCTCTCGATCGTACACGATTCACCGCGGTTTAACGATCCCGAGGATCGAACGGGAAGCATTATCCTGTTCGCCGCTTTTCGAAAACGTGTATTCGTCCCTGTTCAATTAGAGATGACTAATTTAAAAAAATGTTTCTTTAACACTGAAAGAAGCGACGAGTTTCTCGATTATTTCTATAAACGTTCGATAAGGAAATGAAACCTTCTTTTCAGCAGTTGAGGATATTGCGAGAAAATCCTGGAGGTTATTAAGGAATTTCGAGCACTGGCTAGTTATCGAGGAAGATAATAACGCTATCGAGAGGAAGTAATTTCTCTTCGATCAAACTTTCGCTATTTCTCCAACTACCTGCGCCAAGATCGTTCCCGAGACCCGTTTACCCAACGGCGGCCGTGTCCCACTAAAAATACCGCGAATCGTGTAAAAGTTATATCCGGTTACAAACGCGAAAGAGTTGCAATATTGGAAAAAGTCAGCGGTGTGAGAAAAGGAGGTTTCCTTCGATCAGAACTTCCCCCCTTATCAGCCGGCGAGCATCGTTCATTTTATCCCAACTAAGCTCTCATCCGATTAACATTTTTCTTCAACGCGTGCACAACACGCCGACAGAAATTATTAATAAAAACAGATTGATCACAGGAAAGTTGCACCGCTGCGAGCCAAAACAGAAAATCTTACGGTAAAACCTAAATCGTCCTAACGTCAACCAAGAAAATTTGAAAAAAATAATAATATCCATTGCGATACAAAAATCTAATTCGAAATATTCGAATCAACGAAATTACATAAATGAACAAAATAAAATTCATAAAAGTACACATCGTTCTAACGTGGTTGAACAGAACGAGAAGAAAAATAATATCCGTGAAGAATACACACGTCGCGATAGAGATATTCCAATAATACGAATCGATTAAATCACGAACAAAAGCTGCACCGTGTTTTCTCGAGCTTCTCGCTCCGGAGTGATTCAGCAGTGCCACTTTAAAAGCTCGGGACCGGTACGTCCGGCAAGTTTTGGCGTTTCCACGCAAAGCTTTCACACTTCGAGCTGGATGATCATACGTCGAACA